ACAGGACTAGAGCTCAGCAACAGCTCAATCATGGTTCACTGCAGCCTCAAATTCCTGGGCTTAAGCCATCCTCTTGCTTCAGCCACCTAAGTAACTGGGACTACAGGCTCTCACCATTTAGCCCAACTAATTTTTTCTATTTTTTGTAGAAATGGGGGTCTCCCTATTTTCCTAAGCTGGTCTTGAACTCCAGGCCTCAAGCGATCGATCCTCCCACCTCAGCCTCCCAAAGTCCTAAGTTTACAGGCATGAGACACCATGCCTGGCCAAGATGTATCTTAAAGGATTGAACATATTTACACAAGTGAAAATGTGTAAAGCACTGCCTTTGCTTCAGTGAAGTTTACAAAAATTTTCAACTACATGAACAAGTCCAATATGTGCTTACAGGTGGGTGAACTGCCTGCCAGGCTAATGTATGTAAATACAAAAAATATTTACGTACCCCCCCCCAAAATTACTCAAATTAGCCAATAAGTTCAAAATAATTTTCAGGAATATCTGTGGATGTGTGATATTGATCTAAATATGGGTACAATGATAAACTAGATTTTCAAAATGTTATTTATAAATGCTCAATAAACCCCTAATTAAACCAAGAGAACTGCTACGCACAAAAAAAGGGGGAGGAGGACGCCTTTTCCAGAAGGTAGAGGTGAAAGGGAACATCTCCAGTGTACACAAATCGAAGGGACCAGAGAATCTAGAAGTTTAGTTGATTTTTATAGTTTGGGTTCTTTAGGAAGGTATAGCCTTGGTTTTTACAATTTTTCTACAATACCACTCTTGGGTTAAATCACTTATAAAGTCTTCTCTTTGATGATTAAAACAGTAACAATTATTATACTCAAACCCTGCCCAGGTACTATGTCCCTTCTCCCATGGGCAGGGCTTTTGCTTACAGAGAGGGCCTCCGCCCCTTACTCAGGTTACCGCACTGCTGGAGGCACCCCGCACAAACTTCCCTAGAGCAAATCCCCTGGCCTGTGGTTCTTTGGGTTCTTTTTTGTACCCTTTTCCCTTCTTTTTTACACAGGGAACGCCATGTATAACTCGCATTAGGATTGCGCTCATTTCAGCCAAGACATTACGTCTCCAGGGCAACCGAGAGCAAACGGGGGGTCGCGGGTGGGCAGGAGGCGCGGAGGACCACCCCCCGACGGCGCCTCTCACCTGCCGGCCACCGGGGTCGCCCCGCACTCGCGTGTCGAGCGCGTCGTGCCGAGTTTCGTCTTCGCCACCGGAGCGGTAGATGAGGCGCAGTGGCACGATGCTCTGGCGCTCCAGGAAGCGGTTTTCGTTCCTCTTCTTCAGGTCCGTCACTGAGGCGTCTCCTCCAGGCAGGAAGAGGGGAAGGAGGGAGTGGAGAGAAAAGGCGAAAATAATGACCCTTACCCACACTCCTCTATCCTGAGGTCCTACGTCTCCTCTACGAAAATCCGCTGCCCCCTCCTTCCCGGACCCCATCTGGGAAGGACGCAGAGACACCAGCCAGAGAGCTTTGGACCAGCTCATCTGGGAGCATCCAGGATCCGGGCCCAGAAGCAAGGTACCCCTTTCCCATCCTCCCCACTCCTCTTCAGAAGAAGAAAAACAGGCTTTTGACCGGAGGCTTCCAATGCACCCGCTCGCCCCCACACATATATTTTTGCTCCACTTCTCACCACCCTTCCAGATAAAATTTCTCCCCGCGCACCCGGGAAATGGAGGCACCCCTATCCAATGCGCTGGAGGGCTCCAAAGATTCCCGTAAAATGGTACGTCCCGAAGCCACAGAGGGTGGCTAACTTACCTGCCTGGCCGCAGCGCGCCGGGGGGCAGGTCCCTAGGGCGCAGAGCAGCAAGAAGGGCAAGGACGCAGCCGCAGACGCCTGCATGGTGCTGCCGTCAGCCCGCCTCGCCCGAGACGCTCAGCTCCTCATGCTGGGGCAGCCGAGTCCGGCTCCCTCGCTCCGCGCCCCGCGGTCCGCACGACCGCCTCCTCCCAGCCCCAGCCTCAGCCGGTTCTGCGGATGCCGCGGCGCTGCAGCCTCCACCGCGGCGCTGCCTCAGTGCTGCATTGTGCTCCGCGGGCGCTTCCGCTGGCGGGGGGAGCGAGAGTGCTGCATTGGGCGGTCGGCTGTAGCTAAGTGGTTTCTAGCGCCTCCCACCTCATCCCCTGGCAAAGGCTCAGGCGGGCGACGAGCGCTCGGCAGGGAGCGAGCGCCCGGTACTCTCGCCCCCCGCACGCGGGCAGGGCCGCGCGGAGGAGAGTCAGCTGGGAAATGTAGTTCTTCCCTACGCGTCTCGCTGGTCTCCACGACGGCGCGGACTGTCGTGACCTCGTGACCCTGAGGTCCTCCACATCCTGCAGACGGGAAGGAGGAGAAGGGCGAAAGAAAAAGGTCATCGCTGGCAGGCCTCCTGGCACCGGAGGTGCACTGTGCATTTGCAGCAAGGCGGTGTTCATCCACATTGTCCGGAAAGAACTGTAGTATTTCCCAGAAATTGATAGTTCCTTAAGTTATTATCAGGGAACCATACCCTCGCGAGTACACGGTAAGTTAATCATTTAACAAATATAAATTGAGGAACTACTATGTACCCGGCAGTTGACAATCGGTATGAGGCATATGTTCTCGGATACAATTGAGTATACAGACCATTTTTACAATACAGTGTGAAAAGTGTCCCGGTAGTACATAGAGGAGGGCCATTAACTCAGTCGCGGCAGTCAGGGAGAACCTCATGGAGGTCCACGCAGGCACTTAAAGGATGGTTTAGCCCAACCCTCTAGAACGTTTTGTTCTTTCTGTAACTTCTGACAACCTCAAACCTACATCTGAAAACCAAACGTGGGGAACTCTGCTTTCTCAGGCTGCTTATTCCATTTTTCTCTAATTACAAATGATAGAAAGTCTTGAGGATAAAACAATAATAAGATAATTATCTAAATAATTAACACTTATGTAGTATTTTAGTTTTTTGGAGTTCACATATGTTATCATTTGATCCTAAAGTCAACAATTTGATCAGAATTATTATTCCCATTTTAGAGAGAAGAAAATTAAGACTTAAGCTGTGCCTTTGAAATACTGTAGCCAGTAGCCACATGTGGCTGTTTAAATTCAGATTAATTTAAATTAAATTAAAAATTCAGCTCCTCAGTCACACTATCCATATTTCAAGTGTTGAACGTGTAGTTAGTGGCTACTATATTGGACAGTAAAGATACTGAACATTTCGATCATTGCAGAAAGTTCTATTGGACAGCACTAGCTTCCAGAATTTAAATAACTTGCCCCAAGGACCCATGGCTAATCATAATGTAAACTGGGACCTGGATCACCTGCTTTCAGGTCTGAGTCTTTTTCCACAACATCTGCCTGGTTGAAACCTGTGTTTGTGTAACCTTCAATTTGATCCTGGTTCTGTAGCACATGCAGAAGAATCTTCTACATGATGTTCTTTGGAGTTGTTTTTCTCCTTCCCTGGGGAAAATTTTTTTTATCCCTGCCTCATGTAATAGTTTCAGGTTCCTTCACCATCCTGATGATCTGAAACTATGCTCCACTGTGTCAATGCCCCCGCTAAAGTGTGGTATCCAGAATTAATTATGTATAACTTAGACATGATTTCACAAGCAAATAATAGGGAGGGACTCTTTTCTTCATTGTCCTAAATCTTGCCTAAGAGGACATCCTATCATATTTTGGTAACCACATCTCATTGAACTCATAATGTTATTTCCCCAAATCTTCAAATCAATGACACACTTAAGAACCCAATATATGACATGCAACTGTAGCCTGAACAAGATTTCAATAGTACACATTAGACCTTAATGCAGGATATTCCATAATAGTTACAGTAAAAGAGAATTAGAACCCAAGGTCCTGGAAAAGTCCTTCACTTTCCTTCTCTACATCATGGACCCAAATTCTTAACTCAGTGCTCTTAGTTGGAAGAATGAATTGTACAGGTTTTATAATTATTGCACCGCTCTAAGTATACTCTTTATTTTTTTATTTTTTAAGATTTTTTGAAATATTTAATTTCAAAAGCTAAACACATAAGCTTGATGTAATAAAAACTAAAATAGTTTTTTAACAGTTTGTCTTAGCTCAGGCTGCTATAACAAAAATACCATAAACTGCATTGGTGGTATAGTGGTGAGCATAGTTGCCTTCCAAAAATACCGTAAACTGGGTTGCTTAAACAACAAACATTGATTTCTGACAGTTCTGGAGGCTGGGAAGTCCAAGATCAAGGCACTGGCAGATCTGGTGTCTGATGAAAACCATTTCTTGGCTTCTTGCTGTATCCTCACATGATCCACAGAGGGCTAGCTCTCTTCATCTTCTTATAAAGACATTAGTCCCATCGTGACAGTTCCACCCTCATGACCTAATTACTTCCCAAAGGCCCTATCTCCAAATACCATGACTTTAGGGCTTCAACATAGGAATTTTGAGAGGATTCAAACATTCATTCCTTAGCAGAGGTTAACAAGATATCATTTGTCAGATTTGTTAGCCTCAATTGTTGGGTGCTTGACATGTTAGAGAAAACAAGTAATAAATTATAAATTTTGTAATAAATTGTAAATTTTTTTTACTAATTATGTACATAGTGTTTAATGTTTGGAAAATTTAGTCTCTCAAATTTATGAATTAATTGAATATGAGTCAAAGAACAAGTGAATGATTTTTCTTCCACAAAAAATAAGATTGTAAGCTGAGCCTAAAAGCTTAAGAAAAACTATGTCTTAAATTTTATGAGTTACCAAATTGAATAACAATGAAATAAAATAATGGTAGGTATTCCTTTTGTGAATTAATGCCCCGCTCAGGCAGAAAAAGCTCAAACTATGTGAAAGGGATGGCACATTCTAAAGATCTTAAATGTGCTTCTGTACATGGAACACAAAGTTCAGGAACCGTAGCAACCGCTCCATTACAGTGACCCTCAAGGAAAGAGTAAAATAAAGATAAATTAAGTCAGGAGAGGTAAACCACCTTTATTCACCACTATGGCCTCCAGTTCACCCCATTTCCTGCCATATAACAGCATAAATGCATTAAGAAGTCTTTCTGATGTGGCTCCTACAGTGATGCTAAATAAGGGGCAATGGAAATCTTCTAAAATTGGATTATGGTGATGGGAGCCCAAATCTAGGAATTTTCTGAAAATCATTAAACTGTATGGTGAATTTTTAGAATTTTATGGGATATAAACTATACTTCAAGAAACCTATATTGTTTTTAAAGAGGCGCTCTGAAAAAAAAGATAACTATTTTAACATAAAGCTAAGGTTAAGTGTAGGAGGGGGCAAGCTTACAGCTGAGAAATCCTCTGTTTTCACTACTCTGGAAAAGTATTGTGATATTAAAGAGGGAATGAAAGACTGATGATATGAAAAAATTACAAGTTTTTGCCTATGCCAGTCATATGTCAGTTGTCATTTTTAACTGTAACTCTCTTTTAACGTGGCTGAGTTAACCTTCTTATTTTTACAAATAAGGACTTGTTCCTTCTGAAAAGAGTCTGTGACCTCAGAAACTTATAATTTCTGCAAACGTATCATAAGCTAATTGAATTTTTAAATGATATTTCAATGGCAAAATGTTTGTAATTGTAAAGGCTGGATGAAGAGCATGCGAGAGTTCATTTATACTACTCTCTATACTTTTGTGAGTTTGATAATTTTTAAATGATATTCTGAGGTCTTGCTGCCTCAGGTAAGTTTGTATAGACAAATCATTAATTGAAAATATGAAGTTTTCATTGTTTAAAAAATATTTTTAAACTTAGAAGAATTCCTACTTGAAGTATGAATGTATATTCTGGCCAGAAAGAAAGAATCCATATAAATATATTTGTATGAAAAGATAAAATGGTATAGCCTTTATGATTTCTAAACCAGCAAAAAAAAAATATAAAGTGTTTTTTTTTTTTGAGACAGAGTCTCACTCTGTTGCCCTGGCTAGAG